CGTTGTTGCCATAAAGTCTGGTCCAGACCCAAAGTTTCCCAAGGCCTACCCTGCGGTAGCCCCGGGTGCCATCCTCCTACCTTATAAGACCTATTCCTAGGACGGTTTTGCAGGGGACCTTGACCCCTGCCTCCCGCTTGGCGGTTTCCTCCTCTACCGCCAACCCCCTGATCGCCCTGAAGCCGGCTCCCTGAGGCCCAGCCCCCTTGGCCCTGGCCTCGTCCTCCTTGCGGCCTCCCTCCAGCCGCGACAGCAGCGTAAGTCCTCCCCTGGCCCACACCGCTGTCCTCTTCCTCTAACCCCCACTCGATCTGTTCATAGGGGATCTCATCTACACTACCCTCATCTTAGGTCAGGACAAGGCTGTCCTTGGTCTTTACCTGCCCAAAAATAGTGCGGCCCTTCCATTGCTTTCCCTTATCCAAATCTTTGTGCCAGAAGGTGGAAACTGACATAGACCCACCACCTCACATCTAAGAGAATCGTACGTAGTGGCAGGGTCTTCGCTCTTTGCGAAGAAATGGCCTCGAAGGGCTTCGGGTATAGCCCGATAGAAGAGGCTGACCAACTGGGTGTCCGTAACCCCGTGGTCAGGGACAGCCACTAACTCATCCATTGTACTCTTAAGGGCCCTGACCCTTTTCCACTTACGAGAGTGGATCGTCTGCAGCCTATCTGAGGCTTTAACGCTGCGGGCGACGTCAGCGAATCTCTCGCGCAACAACTTCAAGAATTCGGTGAGGGACGTGAACGAGGAGTACGCAACGGGATCGTCACTACAGTTGGCAGCGCGAACTAGGGATCTTGCAAAACTGGCGGCCTCATCTCTCAACGCGTGAATCGCAATTAGAACCTGCTGATCGAGGGAGACCTATTGCAAGTGCACATAGGTCTTAACGTTGGCTTCCCAGTTGTCAAAGTTCTCTTCCCTTTTCCCACTGTAGGAATCAGGGAATTTGACCTTGATCGGTTCCCGACGAGGGGGACGTGCTTCCTCCTCCTTGGGGGCTGCCGCCTTGAGGCCCTCAATGGCGCCAGCGCAGAACCGCTCAGTCTTGTCGAGGCGATGGCCTACCTCAGTTCCTACAGTGCCTACCAGCTCGCGAGCAAAGTCCCGGAATCCCAACCGTATCGAACGCACAGCTATGTGCTGGCTCCTACTAAAGTCGTATTGCTCTGCCTGAATTCGTGCCAGGCGTGCAACATTTCGAGCGATGACTCGCATTTGGGTTGGGAGTTCAGCCTGGGCGGCTAGTTGCTCTTCTATATTTTTTACCTCTTCTAACTCTTCTGCCGCCTCCGCTGCCGCGTCCACTCTCCTCTTCTTCTCCCTCATCACTGCCAACTTCCACTCCATCCTCTTTTCGTCTTCCAATGCCAGCCGCTTCACAACATCCTTTTCTGCTTCCCAAGCTCTCATAGCGGCTTCCTGATCGTCCTTAGGGATATACATCACCACCTCCTCTTCTTCGCCCAGGGATAAGTTGGCGACCCACTCTGAAATCCGCTTCTCCATCTCCTCATCCCTACATCCACTGTACTGGCCCTTCTTCCTCTGCAGTTGCGTTTCATCTTCTTCCTCCTCTTCCACCTCTTTCAACTTTTCTTCCTCTTCTTTCTGTATCCTCTCCTTCTCTCTGGCCATCTCTTCTTCTATCTTCTTTAATTTGGTCGCCTGTTCCTCCTTCAAGGCCTTCTTCTTGGCCTCCTTCTTCTCCTTCCTCTCCTGCAGAATGGCGGTCATCTTCACCTCCTCCTCCTTCGTGTATGGCTTGGTGGAGGCACCACCCCGGGTATCTACTCTACACGTGAAGGTGTGCCAGAACCCCAGAGGAAAGAGGAGGCGCCAGAGGGTCCCCCAAAGAGAGAACCCAACCAGCAACCCATACATCGGATCGTCATCCATCGTGGCGTCAGGTGCACGACAATGTCCCACTCCTCACCACTTAGACCTACCCGGACACACTGACCTACTGACTCACTCTCTAGGATCCACTGCTCACAACTAAGGCTGTCACTACTGAACTAACAGCTGATCAGGAGGCATTTAAGGAGATCCCCCAAACTCCTCAAGAATTCTTTAACGTCACAGTCAGGACGACGTGATCAACGTAGTTCTTCCTGGCGATTTCAGCCCACAACTCAGCCGTTCCGGCCTACTGTGCCACACCGAGCAGCCCGCCGGTCTGTACCGGTCCTTGGAGGGGTTCGTATCCCTCGGGACAGTCGAGTCGTCAGACACAGATCATCAGCCTTACTAGGTCCGGTAGGGGAGTGGTTCAACCAGGCCTCAACACTTAAAGACGACCCTCGTTTCAGCCTACAGCCCGGAGTTCGGACCCTTTACACTGAACTCAGTAGACCTGCC